GACATGAAGATGGAGGTAGCAGTAGTAGTGGTGGTGGTGGTGGTGGTGTTGGTAGTAGCAGGAGCAACTCCCACACATGCATTGGAGTGGTGGTGGATGGAGGTGGTGTGGAGGAGGATGTGGGTGGTAAGAGGATGGGATTTGGAGGGAGTGTAATGGGAGAGGCCTGTGTGAGCTGCAAGTGGTGGCTAATAAGGAATAGAGTGGGGTGGGTGGTAGTGTGTGTGTCCTTCCCTTGGCTCCCATAGTAGAAGTCAAATGATGCGGAATTGGCATTTGTAGTATGCTGCTGCGACTGTGAGGCATCAAAATGTGGGCGGAGAAGTTTGATGAGGTTGCTGCAATGTTACGACACGTGCACCTACTTCATCATCACCAACATCGCCACCACTACCAACATAAGGAAGGTAAGTGGATGATTAGACAAGGAGGAGGAGGAGGAGGAGGAGGAGGGAGGGAGGGAGGGAGGGAGGAGGAGAGCAGACACACAAATTAATGTGCAGGTGAGGGAGAGGGGAGGGGAGATTCGTGTAGAAGTTGGTGGTCTGCACGAAGACAGCAGAAGGGGAGTGAGGGATTGGTGGAAGGTAAAATGCTCTGTGCGTCCAACTGCAGTGCTGAATGACATGCAGTCGAATTGATTGCACAAGTGAGATGTGCATGTTGTGGTGGTGGTGGTTGGGGCCTTGACCCCACGATGTGATGTTGTGGTGCTGACTGCCATTTCCTCATGTCGAGTCAGACGACGGGAAGTGTGCATTGACACGTGTTGGAGGTGTTAAAGTTGGCCTGCACCATCTCAGTTGTTGGGTTGGTGTTGGTGTTGGTGTGACGCCTGCGTCGTCTGCAGTGGACGACTAGAAAGGCGTGGTGAAGACGGTGGTTGCACATGATTGGGCGGTGTGAAGTGGGGTGGTGAGGTGAATGGTGGGTGGGTTGGAGGTGAAATTGGGAGTCGGGGAGAAGGGAGAGTGATGGTGGAAAGGGGGTAGTTGAGGGGAGGTGGCGTTGGTTGGGCGTGGTGGAGCAGACGGAGTGAGGAGGCAATGGGGAGGGGAGGAAACAAAGCACCGACGTACTCCTCGCAGATGCAAATGCACACACGCACCAAGCAATTACGTGTAATGCGCTCGATTGCATCGATGTGAGTGGAGCAATCGTGTTTGTGTTTGTGGCAATGACAGAGCGTGATGCGTAGAGAACACGAATTGCAGGATTTGTGGTTCCCTCCTCCTCGCTTTCGTCATTTTGGTGGACTCGTCTGCGCACCATCGAAAGGCTGCTCTCCACTATGCGGCGTAGCCTTGCACCCAC